TTAACATTTAACCTAATATTAATATATGTAGACATGCTAATAAATGCACTAGAAAAATGCATACTGCAACTCCCTGCAAAATCAAGTTTTTACTAAATTGTGGAACCTAACCCACAAGATCAAGTGGCTTTCACCACTCTGATAAAAGTTCACCCCCTCCCCAACAACGGCTATATCCAGTACCGTGAAAATTGTTAAAAAAAAAATTTTTAAGTCTTCACTCAATTGTCTACTGCCTCATCCGCCATCTCTGTTGCAATGCACAATTGTCTACAACTTCATTAATGCAGCTAGTACAAGCCGTCATTTCTCCAAATGGTTTCACACGAAAGCCGGTTCCTTGTTTTTGTATATATATACGTATTCCTTTACCGAGATGTAGAAATGAGTTCAAGAAATAAATAAACATTTTTCATTCTTTAAAGTTATCAAAAATATTATAAACTTGGTCTTTTCTACTCATCAATCTCTTTAAATAGAATTTAGATCAACAGTTTATTTGGGAGTTAAAAACAAAATTCATCCCAACCCTATATATGTCACTTGATTATTTCATTTTACTTGTAATTGAACCTTTAACAAGTTCAATGTGAGAAGAAGCTCTGAGTAGAGCAACTGTCTCCTCACATGGCGTTTTTCATTGGACTTGAGTTCGAGTCCTTCTCACTCTTTCATCCCCACAATGTAATTTTGTTCTAAAAAAAAAAAAATCCAATGTGAGGAATTAACGCATAGTTATCATGTTAACTAGTTAGAGATTTAGAGTTTGTAGGTTTTAGCAGCAAATCCATGTTTACCAAATTTTTCTTAAGGCATGCACTTGTGCTTAATTATTACATTTTGTACCATATACATTTGTACTTATACTCTTACGTACCCTACATAAAAAAAAAAAAAAAATTGGGCAAACCTTATCATGTTTTCTTTTTTAAGTAAGGGTTCAAGGAAAATTAGGAACATCCAAACGTTTTTAATGTTAGAAATGATAAAAAAAAAACTAATAAAATATTTTTAATGAATAAACACATAAAAAGAATTATTCAAAATATATAAATAATTTTATTAAATCAATATGTTAAAAAAATTTATTAAAAGTATCTAAATAATTTTATATGAAATCAATATTAATTTTGATTTTTACTTTTTCTCTTTAACTAATGCATAGAATTTTATATTTTTGTTAAAGAGCGTTTGGTTGGGGAGAAAAGTTTTTCCCACTTTCTCTCTTTACTTTGATTCTTTAGAGTTGTTTATATATTTTCATACCTTAATGCTATAATAAAAAAAGATAAAAATGACATTTTTTTTTGTTGTTTTTTTACCTAATACAATTCTCTTTTAGTAAACATTTCTCCTACACTTTTTAAAGGAAAAAAGTGTTCTCTCTAACTTCTTGTGTATAAGTTATACTTCATAATTTTTCTATTAATTAATTTTTTTATTTAAATTTTTTACAAATACAAAAAAATTAATATTTCAACAAAATTTTATTACAAGATTTATAAATTTTTTTTACATTAATTTTCCCATTATTCATCCAATAAAATTCACCTCTTACAAAAACAGCCCTAACAGAGAACCAACCGTAGATCCATGTTTTAAATTTGAATCATGATATTTGTGATTGCGAAGGGAAACGGGAAAGAGCTGTATACCAATGAATCTTTTGACATTTACTTATTCAAACAAAAAAGAGAATACTTTTCCATTACTTTTCCCCCATCCCAATAGCTCTTTTCCTGAAAATCAGAGACTGAGAGACAGCTATCTGATTCTGATGCTACAGCACCAAAATTTTGTAAAAAGAACCTAACTAAACAATGAATGTAACATGAGTTTATTATATATATACGACAAAAAAAA